TAAGAGTTTCTTCAGGAGACATATGCTCTTGCGCTTCCTGTATCTTGCTATCAAGATCTAGGTTGAGGACTAAAGAAAGTCCCAATAAATTCTATTACTGGAATTGTATTGGTCAAACAAAAAGTAAAGTATTTTTCCATTGTATTTTGTTTGAAAAAAAATAGTCAAATCATTCCCTTCTGCACTCTTAACCTAAACAAAGTCACTGCTTGAACAAAAGCTGTGGTTCACCACTAAGCTAGCATATCTCTTTCCCCAGCTTTTAAGTCACTTCTTTAATCCCCACTGCTGCGTATGCTCAGTTTGACACAATTGTGCTCTAACTGCACATTTGTAACGATTGTGAATTAAGTGGTTAAACAGAACTGTAACCTTTATGGATAAATTGTGCTGACTTGTATTTATTAATAGCAGGGGTGTATGCTTGTTCCCATAGGCACTGTTTGGGGATTTTTGGTTTTCTATTTTGGGTTGTCTTGCTGTCCTGTTCTACAATTGGAATTGCTCCCAGTGATTTTGGTTGAAATCAGCCACGGTCGTAATTTTTCTTTTCTTTTTTTTTTTTCCTAATCATTTTGAAACACAGTTTCAGGAAAGACTGACAGAATAGTCTGCGATGCAGGAAGGGTAAATGATGTTTCACAGTTGTATAGAATAAAAGGCTTTAGCTAAAATATTTTCAAGTTGTTTTGTGTATTGAATCAATCACGCAGTTTCAGAGCTTGGACCGTTGCTGTTGGATGGCTGTACTACACGGGAGTTCAGAGTCCTTTGAAGCCTCAACTAATCGAATGGCAGAAGAAATGGCAGGGCCTTAACAGAAGTCCTTAAAGACGATCTTTTAAGATGATTGGATATAAGAATTTAGCAGACATACAGATTTTCAAATGCAAGCTCTGAGATTTTGGTGAGGCAGAGAATGTGCTCAAGTAACACTGTTGGCATGAGCAGTGTGCTTTTGTACTACAAAATGCAGAGAATCACAGAACGATTTGGGTTGGAGGGCACCTTAAAGCTCATCCAGTTCCAACCCCATGCCACAGGCATGGGACACCTTCTGCTACACCAAGTTGTTCCAAGCCCTGTCCAGCCTGGCCTTGAACACTACCAGGGATGGGGCAGCCACAGGTTCTCTGGGCAGACTGCGCCAGGGCCTCACCACCCTCACAGGGAAGAACTTCTTCCTCAGTTCTCATCTAAATCTCCCCTCTGTCAGCCATTCCCCCTTGTCCTGTCCTTCCATGTCCTTGTAAAAAGTTCTCTCCATATTTCTTTTTGGCCCCTTCCCGTACTGGAAGCTGCTGTAAGGTTTCCAAGCAGCCTAATCTTCTCCAGGCTGAACAAGCCCAGTTCTCTCAGCCTGTCTCCATAGGAGAGCTGCTCCAGCCCTCGCAGTATCTTTGTGGCCTACTCTGGACTCACTGCAAGAGGTCTACGGCCTTCTTCTGTTGGCTTATCTCCGGAGCCCCTTGATGGAGTACTGAAGGCGGGATCTCATGAGAGCGGAGGAGAGGGGAACAATCCTCTCCCTTGAGCTGCTGGTGATGCAGCCCAGGACATGGTTGGTTTCTGGGCTGCAATTGCACACTGATGGCTCATGGTGAGCTTCTTATCAACCAGCACCTCCAAGTCTTTTTTTTGTAGAATTGTGCTATCTGTAAAAGTCCTGAAGGCAAGACCAGGAGGGTCCCCTACACCGCACTGAGGAGTTGATATGAGTCACAGTTCACCAGGACATGGGGAACAGAGTGAAAAGAGTTCACCAGAATCATAGGAAAGGCCACTGATTCGTAGAAGTTTGTTTTTAATTTTCAAGTTCCTAATGGAAGGGAGCTGTAAATGCAGTATTTAGTGCTGTAATCTGTCTCCCAGAACATTGTCTATGACAGGCAATCTTTTTGGGTGGGGTAGTGCTGAAAGCCAGGCTCAAGAGGTGCATCTGAAGTGCAAGAATCATTCTGGGAAGAACCACTTGAAACATTTAGCATTAACTTCTAGAAACAGTAAAAAAATTACTTAAAGGCAGCCCTAAGCAGGAGATGGTAACAGTTCTACCTCATTGCCAAGTGTTGGGAAAATGAGGGACTTGGGATTTATTAGTTTGAAGGTCCCTTAGTTTGAGGGGTGGGAGAGTGGCAGCTGGGGGACTGTATATATGCTCCTCAGTCAGGCTGGAGCAGAGCACTGGATTGCTGCATGGAGAACAACCAGCCCCGTGGCTCAGATCCTGCAAGAGTCAACCCATGGATCTGAGAGCTGCTGCCCTGGGAGGCAGGGACTTTGCCAAGGTGAATTAGTGTGAAGGTGCCAAGGAAGGGGAGAGGATGTGTTCGGCAAAAGTGAAGGCTTTGACTGCTAAGGCAGAATCCAGTTACTCCACAGTTTGGCCGTGCATCACACCAAAATATTACTTTTTCTTTCACAGAGGGTCCCGTTTGGTTCAGACTTTATCCATAGAAGTTTCTTGAACTTGACATGCAGCATAAATCTTTAAGCACACAATCTTATTGTGATAGGTGTGTGCTCCCAACGAGAGCCAGGTGGAGTCACCACCCTGCTGGATAGCAGGACTGTTAAAGTGCACACACACTTAAGCCATTGAGGAAGTGATTGACTGAAATTGTTTCCTGTACTATAGGGTGGAGGTTTTTCTGTAAGCAGCTGTGCAAACATCATGCAGATCAGAGGTGCTGGTTAGAGACTCGGTGGGATACATCCCATCTCTCCCTGAGGAATATCGCACGGGATTATGAATCCTGTGTTACTTTTTGTAGCTTAGAAAGGCAACGTAAACCAAAACCTTCCTTTTAAGGTGCTGTTACAACAGAACCAATGCAAATTAGTGTTTGCTTAAGGCAAAAGCAAAGAGGGAGGATGTGTGGATGTTAGTGGCAATGCCCAGGAACTTGAACACAGATTAGCACAGTAAAATTAAATGCAGCGAGTAACCTCTAACTGCTTTCACATCACCAGAGGCAGCAGTACCTTTATGTGTCCAAATCGCTTGGAGGTGAAAACATCTGCCTGGTTATGGGAGAAGATGGAGAATGGGAAGGGTGCCGAGGGGAATGCTGAATTAAGGGCTTCTCCCTGGGAAACTGCCTCAACTGCTTTCCATTTCTGCTAAACCCACAGTGTGCCAGCACAGGGGTGTGGGCAGAACTGGTCTGCTGCTTTCCCAGTTAGCACTGGAAACCAAGACATTCTAATCAGCTTTCTCACTTCAGTACCCACCAGTAAACAAGTACTTTCTAATTCTCTTTGTTTCAGCAGAGATGTATCTTGAGGCAGCTCAAAAGCTAACATACAACTTACCAAGAGAAAAGGAATTTCATGAGAGAGAAACAGCTAATTTTGCATTTAAATGATAAAGGCACAGGTTAGAATGTAACATGCTGCTGCTACAGGTTTAACGCTAGGTCCATTTGGATGTCATAACCAAAGAATCAAGTTCTCGTGAACAGGTAAGACTCACCCCCTCCCCAGAGTCAGCTGACACAGAGCAGGGTGGATGCAAGTGGCCCGAAGCATTACACCATTTATTACTTTGCCATTTCAAATTTAGCGTAAGTTTTGACATTCTATGCTCTTAAATTTCCAAAGGGTGCTCATGGTACAGCAGCACTTAAATGAGCTACCACCAGCTTAGGAACACTCCTGGCAAAGGTGTAAGACTGGAAGCAGTCCTAAACAAACAACAACAAAAACCCGAAGAGAGCACCTAGATGTCTTCAGGCATCAGGCTCCGAGACCAAACAAACTTACCCATAGAGTTCAATCACATTTATTTTTAGTGTTTGGCTGTTCACCCTTGTAGCAGGAAGTTGGGGAAAGAAAAGAGGAAAATCAGCAGTATAGCAAAACAAAAATCATCTTTTTACTATTGAGTTTAAAATGTCTTCATTCCCCTATCAGAAGTTAGGGCTTTTTTTATCCTTTTCAGAACAACTGCATTTCAAGTGAAAACAGTATTTCAGACTAATGAGAGAGATGAGGGCATATAAAGGATGGATTTAATGTAAGGGCAGATGCCCCTGACGATTGCTCTTGTGCTTCACAAGCCTTTGGTTAAGCCGAGGTGTTCCAGGTAATCCCATGGGACACAGGCTTGCTGTCCTGTGTCATGGCAGGGCATCAGCCTCATCACTCACTTCCCTGCATCATCTCAATAGGAACAGAGCAGGAGACAGGGTAGGGATAAGGATACTGGACAATATTGTGCTAAATAAGCATACTCTGACTTACATCTACCTTAAGCACCCACCTAACCTCATACCCCATTCTCTTAATTTATGAAGGATTTTCACCACACTAACTGTACCAGCTCTAGTGAAGTAATTCCCAACTATCAACTTTAAAATTTCATTACAAATCACTCCCCTGAGGGGTATAAACCCACCCAGATTTCTGTTATTCATTCATTTTGTGTTTGCTTATTACATTCAGAAGCTCTTTGGAGAAAAGTGCAAACAAAACAGCTATAAAAAACAATAGATGTTGTTGCACGAATGTGTTCCCTCCCTGTGTCTTAAACTTATGATTTGTATAAAAATAGCAATGAGTGAATAGAAAAGCACAAGTAAAGAAAAGCTTTTTCTGTCACTACAGAAACCACAACACATTCATGAAAAGGCTAATCACCTGGAAAACACGAGACAACCATCTTTTTCACTTCAGTTTGTTTCAAAGAACCATGATGCTTCCCCCCACCTTTTATTTTTAACTGTGAGACCAAACACATATGAAGAGCTGAAGTGAAGGACAGGCCCCACCACCATGATTCTGTCCTCTCCATATGCTGCAACTGCAAACCACACAGTACGTCCTTTCCTGCAAAGGTAGAGATGGTACACAAATAACTGCTACAGAGAAGGGACTCTTAACCAAGGAAAATAACAGTTTGCAGACTAATAAGTAGGAATCCCAGGGTAGGAAATGCCTTGAAAGGCACCAGAGCTGTCCCAGTGAGGTGTACCATTAGAAAAAATCTTTCTTGCAAGTCAAAACCATCAATATTTTTTAATGCCGTCAATCATACTGAGAAAATCATCATCAGTTGTCACTGTTCAGGCATGTGCAGGCAAATGTGACTTCAGGAACTTGACTTTTTGCCAGTCTCCAACTTGTTTCTGCATTAATTTCTCCATTAATTTGATTATTTTTGGACAGAGTTCCAAAATTTGAACACAGATCAATCCATTAAAAAATAATTGGAAGAGATAACAGGATACATATTTCATACGATTTCTTTCATAATATGCTAACAAAATAGAATTACTGTAATTCTTTCAGGATCAGAAAAATACTCCAAGCTGTAGTGTTACAGCACATGGCAGTCTGTAAACAAAACCAGCATCCACTTCACCTGTCATCTGGTGCACTTCTTTCTGTTCACGTGCTGCTTCATCTGGTTACACCGGTGTAGTGGTTAAGGAACTCTTAATACTGTCGTTGAACCGCATAACTTCATCTTCAAAGGAATCAGTTTCTGCTGTTGTGTTTGAAGAGATTTCATGAGGAAGAGCTAAAGAAGGTAACGATGGAACTGAAGACAGCAGCTCATCCAACTCAGGCTGCTTGACTGAGCCTTCAGAACACATGGTTGCGTCTTCAGGGTCCAAAGCTGTGGCATCTTCTGGGAAATGGAAACAGATTGAAAAAAAAACCAAAACCAAAACCAAAACCAAACAAATAAACAAAACTTGTCAGTCTAATGTGCAGTGCCTCTGGTGCCCATACATCATGGGAAACCAGCTTGAATGAGACGCCTCATACAGGCACATAACCAGACTCACAACTGTCGACTACATGGGCTGTGCTTACTCAGGTCGCCCCAAATTCAGAAAATCTGATGGTACAATCAGGTTTTTAACAGGCCATGAACTGTTTTGTCTGCTGTATTCCTAATGCTGGAGATTGGGGTTTACCATTCCTAAGTCACCCCACCTTTTGAAAGGGAAAGGCATTCACAGTGTGAAGAATTTATTTTTTTCTTTTAATAGAAAAGTGCATTGGGTTTATATGGCAAAGTTTGGGGGGGGGGGCAGGGGTCTAAAGGGGTGGCTTCTGTGAGAAGCTTCCCCTGTGTCCAACAGAGACAATGCCAGCTGGCTCCAAGACGGACCTGCTGCTGGTCAAGGCTGTGGCCTGTCGGTGACAGTGATATCACCTCTGGGATGCCTGTTGCAGGGCAGGTGGTAGAGGATTTGGAAGTAAAGTTGAACTTGGGAAGAATGGAGGGGTTGGGAGGGGAGGTGTTTTAAGGATTTGGTTTGATTTCTCATTCTCTTACTGTGATTTTATTGGTAAGAAATTAAAACCAATTTCCCCAAGTAAAATCTATTTTGCCCATGACAGTAATTGCTGAGTGATCTCTCCCTATCCTTATCTTGACCCGTGAGCCTCTCATATTTTCTCCTCCCTGTCCACCTGAGGAAGGGAGTGTCAGAGTGGCTTTGATGGGCACCTGGCACCCAGCCAGGGTCAGCCCACCACAAAAAGTCATTATTAAGATGACTGCAACTTTTCTTTCACTTTACAGGTGTGAAAGCAAGCCTGTGGTAAAAAAGCCCATATACACTGATTTTAGAAATATGTACTTTTAAGGTCAGTTTAATCTGGATCACCAACATTTTCATTTAAAGACACAATCTATAATCTTATATATATAAAAAAACTTATTTTTTAACCACTTCTAAACTTGATTTCTGCTACATGTTTCCATCGCATTTTAGCCAATCCCCTTTCTGATTTTTCTTACAAGTGGCTTGTTTCCAAAAAAGCATGATGCTGTGGAGCATGCATGAGTTGGTGCCGCTCCAGAAATTAGGTCAGAGGCCCAAAGGAAATACTGAATACACTTACCAAAACAAGCAGAAGCGTCATTGTCTGACATTAACTTCTCAGTGCCTACTAAGGCATCTGCTGATGGTGTGTTAAAGGAGGCAGATGAAGACATGTCGGACACTTTTAAGTTAGCAAGTTCAGGAAATGAATCAGACATATCTAGAAATCCTGAAGGAGAAAGCAAACATTATAGTACTGGCTTAGACATAACACAAATTCAGACTGAAAAAGACACGTTATATCAGGACTGAAGTCCCCTCCCCACTAAATACAAATGAATTTAACATAGATGTTAGCTGTCATCAGTGGAATGACCCCTGCAGAATGTCAGCCTCAGTCAGGCTTCCAGTACCCAAAATCTAGAGCTCTGAAATCCAGTGAAGTCAAAAACTTCAAGGAAAACCACCACCAATACTCCTAGTTCCTCACACAAGTCTCAGACTCAAGATGTTACTAGTTTACTTAAATGTCCTCTGAAAATCTGCTGAAAAAAACACCAAAGGAAACATACCTGGATCCATAACTCTCTGGAGAGGGGGAGGAGGAGAAAGTGAGCTTTCTGGTGAATAACTACTCATTTCTTGATTTGTGGAATGATCCAAGTTCCTAAGTATTTCACAGTTGTCACTCTGAGAAGTAGGTGCCAGTAAAGGTGTCTGGAATGACACAATAAGAAGAAAAGCATCTTTTTGTATCTAAAGCTTCAGCTGAAAATGATCTTCCTGTGAAAACATTCTGCCTCGGTCTCCAAATACACCAATTCAGAGAACCTATGACCGTCAAACCACCGATCAGGGCATGTTCCAGTGTAGTCTTTTAAAGCCAGTATGTTCAGAATAGTCCACTCTTAATTCTTGTAGGTGTATTTTATTGCCTAGTAAGCAGCGTATTCTTCTAATTCTCATTGACTGACACAGCTGTAGTATGCAAGACTTCAAAATGTGAAGAAAATATCCGGCAAAAATTTCTATCGGCCAGCACTGGTGATCTGCCAGCTGCTCAGCACAAGCAGCTATCACTTTCTCTTCACATAACTCTGTTTCATTCAAGCAAAGTTGTATGCTGTACCCAAATATACTGCACTATAAATGTTCCAACAAGCAAAAAAACCTTAGAAACTCCAGAGAACATGCCAAAGATACGAACTAATATCTTACATACCTCCGTGTAGCCGTCAGTAGATGCTACAGGAGTTCCAGCTTCTGGCAAGGGTGAAGGTGGTTTGCTTTCTGGCTTTTTCTTGGCTATTGCAGACTGTGTTGGAATTCTGTGCAAGTAGCCATATCCAATACCACATCCTAAACTGGACAAGGAAAGTAAAACAACACTTGAAAAACAAAACTAGTAAGCATTTTAAATTCTGACTCTCTAAAGAGTTTCAGTCTTTAATCTATAGCAAGAAATACCTACCTGCAAGAATCATTTTACTTACTTGTAGTACTCAAGGAGCACTCTGCATTTGACATTTTGACATACATAAGTTAGCTTTCAGTTGATTATTTTTGTATCTTTACAAAATAGATAACCTATGAGAATGTAGCTAGTGAATCTGATACTGGGGAAGTCAGCATAGGTTTGGATCCAGAACATGCCTAATTCCTAGTTCTGAGATAGTTTGTGTTTTGTGTTTGGCTGTTGGCTTTTTTTTGGAAAGATTAACAGTTTTGTCTGACAAGTGTAAGTAAACAAAGCTTAACGTCAAATTAACAAGCTGTAATCAATAGTAGTAATACTCTTAACAGGAGCCCATTTACAGTGAGTATATAACCTGTCACTAGCCAGTGACTGTCCGGAGGGAGATCAGTACCTTCCTTCTCCACCCCAAGCTCCATTGGGAGTCACAACTACCTCTCGAATGGAATCTGCTTCAGTGTTATAAACCATCAGCTTCAGCGGCTTCCCCTCATGGGATTCAATCAGGGAAAAGAAATCCTCCGACTAAAAAAAAAAAAAAATAAAAGAAAGTAATGGTTATTAAACTCAAATGCATAAGACAAGGAGCTGGAAGCAACTTAGCATTTTAGGTAGTTACTCACTTCAACATGAAATATTAAAACCCCCAAGACAGACTAAAACTCACTACTGCAGTTTGATCTTTAGGGGCAACTTTATTGTCACATTTAAAATATAATGTTTACTTGAACCATGAAGCATCTGTCATAAACATCAACCTCCTAAAATCCCTAAACACTATCCCCACACATTCGATGTACACACCATTAGACTTATAAAAAAACCATAAAATCCAGACCCTACAATATATACTTGGCAGGCACGATTGAAGAAACATGGGCCCTACCTCCTGAAGAATCTGATCAGATCCCACAACATAGTCAGTGTATGGCTGTAGACCAGCTAGAGCTGCAGGAGATGCAGGTTCAACATCCTGTGAAAGAATGACATTGAGTCATATGCACTTGCAGAAGGATAAACTAGCCCACTATTAAAAGCAAAACCTAACCCAAAAACCAACAGAAGGACAGAACATTTTGGTTATGGGACAAAATGGCAGTCCTGGAAAAGTCTACCCCTAGGTGTGACATCTTGCAAAAAATCCTGAATAAGAAAGACCAAGATGCTACCAATTCAAAATGGGATCCTCTGAAGATGTTGAGAAGTTGTGCTTATTTAAACAACCAGAAACATAACACTCTTTCTTACTCAGTTCTACTCTTTCAGCTATTCTTCTTGATCTTAAAATAGTTTTTTGGTGCTTTCTGTAACATTAATGCAATTTAGCCAACACAGAGGCACCACTCAGGCCAGAATCTTTTTGCATTTGCTGCTGATTCTTCAATATAGGATGAAAAAGCCTTCTCCCTATCACACGCTGTTTGGTCCAGTTGGAATGGAGTTATTTTGCTTCACAGAAACAGGCAACATTTAACAGTCATCCACTACTTTTCCCTATTCAGATAGCTCAGACAAACCTCCAAGACTGCCTCTGTGTGATTTCAGCGCTGTACTTCCACATACATGTTAATTCTAAGCATTACCCTTTAAAACAAGGTTGTATGAACACTGACAAACCACCAAAGAATTCTGTCTCACCAAAACATGCCACACATGTTCATTGGCTCCCTGGAAACTGCAGAACCTCACACTGGCTCCAAGAAGACCTTGTCCTCCCCACATGTTACTGGGGATCACCTCCACCTCTCTCATTTTCATTGTTTTGATATTATACACCTCCAGCTTCACTGCTTTTTCAGCATTTGCCTTCAGGAGATCTTTCAGCATATTGTTTTCCTTATTCTGTAGAGCACAAAAAGAGAGATGATTAATATTATTTCTAGTGGCACCTGTCATATAGATGTCATGCCTGTTTCAGAATTTGAATACAAAGAACCAAAACTGTCAAAGTATAGGCTCTGTGCTTTAAAAACAATCCCAGCAGTTCAATTTTCTTTCATTAGAAAGAAGTCAGCACTGTCAGCTCATGTCCCTTTAACACAAGCACTTGCTACTACTCCATTTAATCACTTACATTCCTGCTCTGTAACTGCTATTAAATTATATCAGCAATATTAGATCTCAACTATGTAGCCTAACAATAAGCAGCAACATTGTTCTTCATGCTTCTGATCACAGTCCTTATTCAATAACCTTTCACGGTCAGTGCATATTGGCTGTGAAGGGACAGGCTGTTTGTGAGTTGCTTAGAGAACAATCATTATTTCTGCCCTGTTAAAAGATTAAATGATCTTCCACCAAAACCTACCATTATAACAATCACTTTCAGAAGGAGCCTCCACTAACAAAAGCAAGACAAACTTAATGAATTCAGCTCATATGTACTTAGGGTGAAGCATACAACCAAAGCTGCAAGCCTTTTAAACAAAAAAAAAAAAAAATCAAACTAAAGCTCAATTCTTTTCTCGTAACTCAACATACAGGAACAGTGTTCCCAGTCTTGAAGTACAATCAGACAGGCTATGACTCTTTTCCATACTTTATCAAATGTTGAAACAAGTTTGCTTAAATAAATGCTGAGCTCTTACCATTGACTCACCAATTTGATATTCTTGTGGCAGAAAATACACATGAATGACTAATACCATAAACATGGTGTTAATCTGTTAAGGAGTTTGAGTGACTAAAGGCATAAATAAGGCTCTTGCCTCAAATCTGGATCCAGCCAGAGATTTTGAACACCGCCAAGTTTCACTTTATCTTTAAATGCCATATACAATGTCCAATATGAAAAGCTTTTATTTACCACAACAGCTTTGGCTTCTACCTTTCATCATTGCAATACCCGTATTTCATGCAAGTAAAAAAAAAGAAACAATAAAATCATTTGAGGCTTACAAGCCTAGTGTGTCCTATGGCAATTATGAAATCAAAGAAAGGTTCCAGTCCTCCTTGTTGAGCTGGGGAGTTTTCTTGAACCTGCAAAACATACATTTTAGGTTTACACTATGGTACAGTGTTAATATTTACACTTGATTCAATATTGACTTTAGAGCTGAACCACAGGTGAGATCACAGACTTCGGAAAGCAGTCCACAACTGTGAATTTGTTATTATAAAACTATGAACAACAAGCATCCAAATTAAGCTGTAAAAAACAGGTTTTGGACTCCACACAAACACAAGTATTGTGATTCAGAGTGCACAGCATGGAATTATTAAACACTGAAGACTTTGGAGAAGAGCTTAATTTTCAAACTGCTGCTTCAGGATTTTCTTCCATGCTAGTAATAGCCTGAGAACACTGAGAGCCCCCAGTTACATCACAGCCATGTTTTACATAAATATGTAAACCCAATTTACAGTCGGGTTCCCACAACTTATAGCACATTTGAAAAGGAACACTTAAAAGAGTATGCTACAAACACATGGCTAACCACAAGTACTGGTCAAGAAGATTGCCATCCATTACAGAAGATTCATGAGGAGTTGCAACATCTCAATTTCATTATAACCAAGTTATTGTAAAATAGTGTAAGAAAGAAATGTAGCAATTACCTATTAAAATGCATTCACACTGGGATAAAACCCACCAAAAGTTACACAGAGCTTGATATATGCAGAGTATATGCAAGCATGCCCACTTCAAAGTATGCTAACAGAGCAACATATATCAAGGGAACCGCTGCGAACATGCTAACCAGTTTGTAGCTTTTATCTTTACTTTTGTTAATGCAACAGCACAGCCCTTAGCCTGCAATACAGTTGACTTCCGAAAGCCACCCCACAATTTAAACACTAAGTTACAACCCATGCACCACCTAATCTAAAAAAGACATTGCTAACAAACTTTAAAATGCTACCTCTCACGTTTGGTCTTGTGCTACCAAGCTGCTGTTTATCTCTAATAAAGTTGTATCGGTACTGGGGCTCTTGCTGGTGTAACTGTCTATACAGGTTACAAAACTTAAGTAACGGCACAGTTATTTCAGCAAAAGCTTTTAAAGAAAATAAAAACCCCAAAACCGCATAACACCACCTCATGCTTTATTTTTAACAGCCAAAACTGACCACTGTAACCACAATTGGAGTAGGAAGTATTAACTTTCATCACAACCCTGAACTGCATCTAAAGCAAACAGCCAGCTTATGCTGAATCAAAAGTTTAAAAGGTTAAGAAAAGTTTACTCCAAATTCTAAACAACGTGCAAGAAGCCTTACAATGTAAATATCACGTAACAGGCCATCAAGGATGAAAATGTATGCAAAAAGAAGTACATGGAAGCTATTACAGAGCTCATGAAATAGCTGTTCAGATATCTAAAAGCCATAGAGACTCCCATACAATGATATAAGTTGCAAAAAAACCTGCAGTATTTGGTTTTCAAAATGACACCTATCAGAATTTGTATGAATTCCATGGAGGAAAAAGAAATTACTTTGTCTCCTGCATACTGCAGGTGTCCAAAATCACCCTTCAGTACAGAAAACTGAGCAGTATGCTGCACTTAGCATGAAAGGAGGCAGCACTTTGTGACCAACAGTCACTTCAGACGGAGCTAACCCAGTTAAGGAGACTGACAAAAGAGGAACCCTAATAACAGTGGTAACCTACAAACATATCTTGTGACACTGAGAAACACAAACCACCGATGAAGTGGAAAGCAGCACGATGGAACAACGTTTCTACTCTTATTCAGGGAGGAAGACCACCAACTAAATGATGACGTCTGCAACAGCTGTTACCAGCAATCCTGCCTATGTTTAAGCTCCAAGTTACGCATTTAAACCACTGTGTGTGAAGACAATCCGCTAGATGCAGGAGTTAGAGCAAATCTGCATCTCTGTACAACGCCTGTGAGAAGCAGCCCCTCAGGAAAACACTGGCTGAAGCAGGAATCAGCCCCCAGCCAAGATGCTATAAAGATCCGCAGAGAAATGAGTCAGATCTGCAAGTCAACGGAATCTGGAAGAGAGAGGCCGTAGAAAGGGCTAGCCTGCTCTTAAACCACGCCAAGTTCCTCGAAAGCTGCACAAAAGGCTCCCTTCAACCGCCGGCAGCAAAGACACGGCAGGTCGAAGCTCTGAGCTTAGTGAAGCCGACAGGGCGGGTACCCACGGCCTCCGGGGCAGCGCGGCCGCTCCTCCCCCGCCGTCGTGGCAGTTCCCTGGAAGGATCCGACAAGTGGGGGCCAGGGGGCCGCGGCCGACAGGCCCCAGCCCAGCATCCTCGCCGGGGACTCGGCCTGCCTCGGCCACCACAGACCGGAGGGGGAGCAGCGGGACCCCGCTCGCCGCCAATCCCCTCCTCAGCACCCGCTGCGAAGCCGCCCGCGGGCCCGGAGGCGGCCGCCTTACCCCGTGCACATGGAAGCCCTCGGCGCCGCCATCGGGAACCTCGGAGCTGGATCCCAGGCCCATGCCCAACGCCGTGCCCACCGCCGCGGGGCGCCCGGCTCAGGCGGCGGCGGCGGCAACAGCAACGAGCATCACCCTCGACACCACCCCCTCAGCCGACGGCCTCGCAGGCCTGAGCAAGCGAGCGCCGAGCACAGCGCGCTCTACGGCGGAGGAAGACGGGAGCTCAGCTCCGCTCTGCTGTCTGGCGTGACGCAAGGACGGGGCGGGGCCGGTATAAGCGGCCGGGCGGCAGCCGGAACTCTATGTAGGGGTAGCGGTGCGGTGGTGGTTGCTAAAGCGGGTTAGGTGTCAGCTGGTTTACAGAGGTACAAGCCACAGCCGTCTTTCAGTTTAAAGCCATTCCCCCTTGTCCTATCGCGGTCTGCCCTTGTAACAAGCCCCTTTCCAGCTTTCTTGTCGGCCCCTTTAGGCTCTAGAAACTGGTCTTCAGGTCTCCCGAGAGCCTTCTGCTCTAGAGGCTGAACAAGTCCAGCTCTCAGCCTGTCTTCATATCAAACGAGCAAATGTTTCTGTTCTGTTCCAACCCCCAGGAATGTATTATGAGCTATGCTCAAGAAAAATATATCCACCAGCTGAGAAAATCTGTGGGATTAAAGTTGAAGAAGCAAATCAGTGGTCCCATGTTGCTGTTTTTCAAGACACAGGGAGCCTTGTGATTAGGTGATTATTAAGAAGTGGTGATATTTCTATTTCCATGAAATTTCATACCTGCTCTGCTTTTTTTACTTAGGATGAATTATGGCAGTATTTAAAGGGTGGCTACAAAGAAGATGGAGACTCCCTTTGTACAAGGAGCCACATGGAAAAGATGAGGGGTCATGGGCACAAGTTGCTCCCAGAGAGATTCTGACTGGACGTGAGGAAAGTTTTTCACTTTGAGAACAATCTGTCATTGGAATAATCTCCCCAGGGAAATGGTGGGTTCCCCAGCACTGGACACAAGTTTAACCTGGACAGGGTGCTGGGCCATCTAGTCTGGGTCATGCTTTACCTAGAAAGGTTGGACCAGATGATCCTTGAGGTCCCTCTCAACCTGGGATTTTATGATTCTATGATTGAACTCTTCTGATTCTGCATTTAACTCATGAATGTTCTGAAAGTTTTCTATTGATAGTAATAATTTTAAGCATTATTTTATTAATATAGTTAAAGTGCCAGTTATATGTCCTGCATGAGTACTTTCCTTCCAGTACAAACCCACCATTTTAGTAAACCTCCCTGGTAGTTACTGCTCTCACCACTGAGATGTCATTTTTCCAAAGGATCCATCCACATAACTTCTGTGGTCCAAGTGTGATGCATAAAGACAGAAAAGAAAGGTGCTTTGTCCATCTAAGGTCCATGCCCTTAGTGAAGCCGTGCTGGCTGTCACCAAGCACCTTGTTGTTTTTCATGTGCCTTAGCATGCCTTCCAGGAGAATCTGCTCCATGATTTTGCCAGGCACAGAGGTGAGACTGACTGGTCTGTAATTCCCCAGGTCATCCATTTCCCCCTTCTTGAAAATGGGGGTTATATTTCCCTTTTTCCAGTCGTCGGGAACTTCACCTGACTTCCATGATTTTTCAAATATGATGGCCAGCGGCTTAGCAACTTCATTCGCCAGCTCCTTCAGGACCCGCCAATGGATTTCATCAGGACCCATGGACTTGTGCACGTTGAGATTTTTCAGATGGTCTCGAACCAGTTCCTCTCCTACAGTGGGCCCAAGGTTTTCATTCTCACAGTGCCTGCATCTGCCTTCCAGGACTTGGGTGGTCGGTCAGAGCCTTTGCTAGAGAAGACCAAGGCAAAGAAGTCATTCAGAACCTCAGCCTTCTCCAAATCCTGTGTAGCTAGTTCACCTGAGAGCTTCCTGAGGGGGCCTACTTCTCCCTAATCTGTTTTTTATTTTCTATGTACCTGTAGAATCCCTTCCTGTTATCCTTAACATCCCTAGCCAAGTTTAATTCTAACTGGGCCTTAGCTTTCCTAACCTGGTCCCTAGCTTCCCAGACAACATCCCTGTACTCTTCCCAGGCCGCCTGTCCTTGCTTCCACTTTCTATAAAGCTCTTTTTTCATTTGAATTTTCCTCAGGAGCTCCTTATCCATCCAAGGAGGTCTCCTGGCCCTCCTGCTGCACTTTCTTCTAGTTGGGATGCAACACTCCTGAGCTTGTAGCAGGTGATCCTTGAAGACCAACCAAGAGTCTTGAGCCCCCCTGCCCTCTAGGGCTATATCCCATGGAACCTTACTAAGCAGGTTCCTGAAGAGGCCAAAGTCTGCTCTTTTGAAGTCTAGGGCAGTGAGCTTGCTGCACACTCTTCTCACTGTCCTGTGGATCTTAAATTCAACCATCTCGTGGTCGCTGCATCCAAGGCTGCCCTGCAGTGCCACATTTCCAACGAGCCCTTCCCTGTTGGTGAGCACGAGGTCAAGCATGGCACCTCTCCTTGTCGGTTCCTCTATTACTTGCAGAAGGAAGTTGTCTTCCACACAATCGAGGAACCTCCTGGATTGCTTGTGCCGGGCCGTACCGTCATTCCAACAGATGTCAGGGTGGTTGAAGTCACCCATGAGAATGAGGGCCTGTGAGCGTGAGGCTTTTCCTATCTGCCTATGGAGTGCTTCATCCGCAGATTCCTCTTGATCAGGTGGTCTATAACATATCCCCACAGTAATGTCTCCCATCGCTGTTTTCCCTTTAACCCTAACCCACAAGCTCTCTGCTATCTGCTCACCTGTCCCCAGACAGAGTTCCATACACTCCAGCCTATCCCTAACATAAAGGGCAACTCCCCCTCCGCGCCTGCCAGGCCTGTCTTTTCTAAAGAGTCTGTAACCTTCCATTCCAACACTCCAGTCATAGGAGCCATCCCACCATGTTTCTGTGATGCCTATAATGTCATACCCCCGTAGACGAGCACACATCTCTAATTCCTCTTGTTTGTTCCCCCTGCTACGGCATTTGTATACAGGCATCTGAGCCGAGCTCCAAATGAAGCTGGCTCATTGGCTGGAGCAGCCGGAATATCTCTGCATTGCTCCGAGCATTTATTATAGGTGCTGGCAACTGACTGGGAGTGTTGGGATGGAATGATGCCCCCTCCCCCAACACATCTAGTTTAAAGCCTCCTTAACCAGTCTGGCAAGCCTCCTACCAAAACTGCCCTTCCCCTTCTTTATCGGACCAGCTCCACCAGCCCCTGCTAGACCTGGCCTACAAACTTGGGTCCCATGTTCAAGACACCCAAACCCCTGACTGTGACACCACCCTTTTAACCATTTATTAACCTGGCTAATCCTCCTAGCTTTTTTAATTCCTCCCCTGTATCCTGGAGAATAGATGAGAAGACAACCTGAGCTCCAGAGACCTTAACCACCTCTCCCAGGGCTCTGTAGTCCTTCTTTATGTTCCCCAGGCTACTGTTATCTATATCCCTAGCACCCACATGTATCACCAGAAGTGGGTAACAGTCTGTGGGGCTTACCAGAGCAGACAGCCTCTCTGCCACATCCTTGATCCGTGCCCCTGGTAGGCAATATACCTACCTCCCTTGAGGCCGGGTCAGGCCGACAGACGAGTGCTTCTGTCCCTTTCAAAGTAGAATCCCCTACCACTACAACCCGCCGCTTTTTCCTGGCAGCACCAGTAGAAATCTTCTTTACTAGTGCATCAGCCGGCTGTTTCTGGCGCAAGCACGTTTCCTCATGAGCCCCCTGCAGGACAGCAAAGCGGTTCTGCATGGGGGCAACAGGTTCAGGAGGAAGTCCCTTGCTTTTAATTGTCCTTTTCCTCCTTTTTTTATTGTTTTTTGTTTTTTTTTCACCAATTCCCAGCTTCAAGAGCTAACAACCTCCTTCTTTCCTTCACGAGCTAGAGGGGAAGCTTGAAGCCCCTGCACATTTTGGGCCTGGAGCAAGCATTCCTGCTTCCTCTCAGCAACCCTGACATCCTGTAGCCTAATAGCTTCCCGCAGCTCAGCCACCTGCTGCAGGAGAGCCTCCATCAGGGAGCACCCAGTGCAGCCCTGCCCATTGCGTACCTTTCCCTCACCAGAGCAGTGTAGGCACTCTCTACACCCTGAGCTCTGCACTGCAGCCTCCCCTCTCATCGGCTCTGTCTGAGTGCCTACGGTGGCCACCGCCGGGCCATCCAGAGCAGAGCTCCCAGAGCGGGCCCTGGTCATACGGCGAACACTCACCATCCCGCTCGCCATCCCGCGCGAACTGCCTCGACCCGCTCTGTTCGCCGCGCTCGCCTCCCTGGGGCAGGTTTTTAACCAATCAGGGCTGGCGCCGTTCCTCCTGGCTCCGCCCCCTGTGAGTCAGCTGCTCGCGTCAGCTGAGCTGCCGGCTCCGGGGCAGGTCCTGTCGAGGACTTGAGGCTCCCTCGGTGGCTCTGCTCTTGTCGCTCTGAGTTGAGGCTCCTGGACGCTGATCTCCCCCTGCTCTGGTGTTCAAGGCGTCCTCTCTCGAGCTACTCACCTCAGTCATGTTCCACATGACATCCTTGTCTCTAAATTGGAGAGACATCAGTTTGATTGAGGGACCACTGGGTGGATAAAGAACTGGCTGGATGGCCCCATGCAAAGAGTTGTGGTTCAGTTGGAGACCAGTAACGAGTGGTGTCCCTCAGGGATCGGTGTTGGGACCCGTCTTGTTTAACGTCTTCATCGCTGACATGGACAGTGGGATTGAGTGCACCCTCAGCAAGTTTGCCGATGACACCAAGCTGTGTGGTTCGGTTGATACGCTGGAGGGAAGGAATGCCATCCAGAGGGACCTTGACACGCTTGTGAGGTGGGCTGATGCCAACCTCATGAAGTTTAACCATGCCAAGTGCAAGGTCCTACACCTGGGTCGGAGCAATCCCAGGCACAGCTACAGGCTGGGCAGAGAAGAGATTCAGAGCAGCCCTGCGGAGAAGGACTTGGGGGTGCTGGTCAATGAGAAAATTAACATGAGCCAGCAGTGTGCGCTTGCAGCCCAGAAAGCCAACCGTATCCTGGGCTGCATCAAAAGGAGCGTGACCAGCAGGTCGAAGGAGGTGATCCTGCCCCTTTATTCTGCTCTCATGAGACCTCACCTGGAGTATTGTGTGCAGTTCTGGTGTCCTCAACATAAAAAGGACATGGAACTGTTGGAACAAGTCCATAGGAGGGCCACGAGAATGATCAGGGGACTGGAGCACCTCCCATATGAAGATCAGCTGAGAAAGTTGGG